ACCCACCCCAACACTATGTGGGAACCTACATGACTTTTAAACCAATGAGTTCTAACATACTTTGCTAACAGCAAACAGTAGCAAAACCCACATGCACGTGGACCTAAAGGGAACATATTAAGAAAATAACATTTTTGCATCCTTTTGTGCTGCCATTTGGATCTTGTCTGCCTCTGTAAACACTCCAAATAATAAAAAAAATAAACCTCCATCATTTTTTTTGTCAGTATGCTTAAAATAAGCCATATAAAATGTCCCCATTTGTGATGTCACAAATGGGAAAATTAGAATAGAACCACTTCTCACAAGCAAGGGAGAACTGCTACTGGAGGCGTGACTGCTACTACTGTGAGCCCCTCCCATATGTCAAAGCTTCTCAGCTAATAGTAGCCCGAATGTGGAAGAGGTGGGCGTGGCCAGCTGCAGCTTCTTTAAGTGAAACAGCTCATTCTGGAAGGTACTCAAACTGTCAAGATAAAAGTGCTAAAAAGGTCTTATGTTAGAGGGATTTAGTGCAAAGAACATCATAAACATGTATTGTATTGACCATTTTACTATTATAACTTAAGAACAAAAGTCAAAATATATCCCCTTTAAAGGGATGAAAGGATGGTTGGAGATTCTCCTTTAGGATTGTCTGTTAGATTTGTGGTTCCATCCATTACAATAAGTCAAACTGGTCATGAAACTCCAAACCAGCCACAAACCATCCTGTGTCATTAACTGGACAAATACCTTCTAAACAGTTCCATTTTCATCTCATCATTCAAAATAATACTACACAAATTTTGGGAAACTGAAGAATCCTGTCTGCAAATGCAACCTTTGTGTTCACCTTCATCAGGAGGGGTTATCACCTTGGTAGCAACCCATAGTGGACATTTTCACTCCCTCATCTCATTCCTATTGTTGAATTGGTTGAATTTGTTTAACAAACTCTGATATAATCTGAACCATGAGGCCTGTGGTGCTTTAAATGCTGTTCAGGGTGCTTTTGTTCTTAAATTTCTATAGAATGGGTCGTGAAGTGGCACTTTTTGAGATCTTCTGCAGCGTATTTCATATTACCAGATGGATTTCACTGAAGTGATTTTTATAATTCTACTGTTATGGCGGTGATGAGGTTTCTAGGTGGAGCTGTGGGATTGTTTTTAGCCTTACACACAATGTAGGTAATCACAGTTAATTATTGATTTGTGTGTGTGTGTGTGTGTGTGTGTGTGTGTGTGTGTGTGTGTGTGTGTGTGTGTGTGTGTGTGTGTGTGTATGTGTGTGTGAGCGAGCATGTGTGTGTGTGTGTGTGTGTGTGTGTGTGTGTGTGTGTGTGAGCATGTGTGTGTGGTGGGGTTATTTTTAAACATAGGCTTGTATATGTTCTGCTTCTCCTGAATAATAAAATCATAATTTAAAAGCTGCATTATTTTTCTCAGGTTCCTTATTTTTCTAAATATAAATTTGATTGCCGACATTTTTCAGTGTGACGAGAACATTAACAAGGATAAGCCACTGCTCCCTTTTCAAATGCCTTTTATTTATTTTGCAAATCATTTTGTTGGAATTATATATTTCTATGTTTTTTTTGTTCAGGTGCAAAACCAGAAAAGGCAAATACCACTTTACAGTACTGTGAATCGTTTTAGTCTTGTTTTCCGTCATGAATAGTCAGTCGCGATGCAATGTGAACTGCATAAGTAACAGTAGGTCACTGGATTTAGTCTGTTTTATAAAAAACTAAATGATAAATACCAGATGGGTGCACTTATTAAGAAAAATAATTTCCATCTAACACTGAATGAAGGTGCCTGTGGGCTGCATTGGGAATTCCATTTTCGTCAGTAACACTACAGGAAGTATAACATTAGTGAATGGGCCCCAGGTGCTGTGCTTTTCCCCTTCAGTGTTGGGCACCCATTACGCATTGCTTCATGTCATGCCTCAGATGCATAAACTCATAAAAGTACACTTCAGCAATGAGGTTAATGCAATTCAGTGGTTCCCAAAGTCAGTTTGACGGGAGCGTCCAGACATAATCTCTGGACATCAGAGGGAGTGGGGTTGTTCAGAATAGTTCAACTCTTTTATATTATTTATCATTATATTGTTGTTTCTTTGGGTAATAGCAAGCTGCTTGCATCAGTAATATAATGTTGGAGTGTCAAAAACTGGAAAGTTTAGTAATCCCTCTTGTTAAAAGCAATCACTTGTTAGAATCTGGCTAACTAGTAGTATGTGCAATTTTTTTTTTATTTTATTTCAATAAAGTTTAATGTGAATACATACTGGTGAGTTTGTGTATTCTTTTATTTGAAATAATGACTTTTCTTTAAAAGAGATTGTTATGGATAAAGGGGTCTACATTTTTGGGGCAGTGTTTTTTCCAGAATAAAAACATGGAGAGCAGACAACCCCTAAACGCAACATTAACATCTTGAAGGTTTAGTTGGATCCATTTGATTAGATGGGTTGTGACTCCTAACCAAAGTGTCAGAATTGAAGAATCTTCTTGGATGAAAGGTGGAATGTCTTCCAGGAAAACAAGAAAAGTTCAGCCTGATGAACTAGACCAAACTTTACAAAGTGAGAGTTTGGTCTAGCAACTCTACTGGAACCTCTGCATTCTGGCTGGCCAATCACAGCTCTCCATTGGGGTTTCTAACCAATAGAGCGCTGTGATTGGTCCACAATGGTGGGCCAATCACATTTGTCTATTGACTTTGTGGGCCAGATCAAGGCTCTGTATTTGTTTGGTGGGCGGGATGATGCGATGGAGTGGAACACGATGGCGACAGCTCGTTTAAAACGGCTTCTACATCAACTTTGAACTATTTAGACTTGGGCTTTATTAGAATCAGGAGCAGATACGTAGATGCATTTAAGTCCTTTAGAAAAAATTATGTATTTTTGCCTTCTTTAACAACAGACTGCCTTGTTGACTGACATCCATTGCAGCGAGTATGTCACGTTATTCATTGTCCAGTGGCATGCGGAGATTGTGTGAAAGACAACGGTAGAACCCGCCCCACGACGGAAAGCCATCAATGGAGCGTTACCAGACTAAGTAATATATTTATTTAGTTTGGCTTGCCAGGCTAGCTGTTTCTAGGAAGGAAAGCTTTATTTGTATAGCACACTTTATACACAGAGGCAATTTAATTCTGACTAAACCTTCAAGATGTTTATGCCCTGAACAACATCGTGTTGGCTCATCAAAGCATTTAGTTTCAGTTTATTATGAGTTATATATTCACGTTTTACTGATGCTGATTTCAAGGTTTGAGTCCATTTATCCATCACATTAGTGCAAAATCATATGTATTATTATTATTATTATTATTATTATTATTATCCTTTTATCCATCACTAAAAATGAATGTCTTTATTATTTAGAACATTTAAAGACTTGAGACGTGTATAATATAAAAAAAAACTACTTCATTAACGATTCATTTTCATTGCACATGACCTTATATTCTTTAGCTTGCTGCCAAAGTCAGAGAACCTTACTCTGTTGAGCGTAACCCCACAGCTTTGCTAACACCACCTTTTTCCTCCTGTTGGTCCACTTTTGGCTTCATGCCGTGAATTTGATTACCTTCTGATGGACATTATTCTTTTTACGATGGTAATAATAACTTCAATGCTGTCCTAATGATAGTGATCATAATGCAGGGGACTCACTCTCTGGGAGTGTGTTGATAGTCGTGTGGCAACCTCAGCGGGGAGTGTGTGAGCTGACTTCAAAGGTGTGATTTACCTCACAATGGAGTGTGGGGCACTGCAGTGCATGTGAGCGGCTGTCATATTTTTGGGAGCATTCCTGTTTGATCATGTAGCTCACTAGTAATGCTGTTCCCTGGCTAGGTGCATAGAGAACCCAGGGGGTTATTTTTACTTTTATTGCCTTGTAATGTTTCTCTTTTTATCTCAGTGTGTTTTTTCACTTTATTGTCCCTCCTATCTCACCATTAGGCCTATCTTGGTCATGTACTTAAGTGCCAGTTTAGATTAGACAGAGGAGGAAAATTACACACACCTCATTTCAGTAACACCTTGATTAATATTGATCATTTCTCCCGTAAATGCCATCACTTTGCCCAGTTGCAAATTGAAACCTAACACTCATCCACTTTCCTCCCTTCTCCTTGGAAAGCTTTCCGCAATGTCCTGGTGATTTTCATGCAAAATCTGGCCTTTTGTGCCACGAGAAGAATACAGTGAATTGATTGATTAGGCAATATTGTAATGGAGATGGGGTAATGAGTCTGCCAATCACAATGTCTGTAAGAAAAAAGAAAAAAAAAAACATGCCCAAGCAGCAAGAATGTGTTGCGAAACTGGAGGTGCTTGGATGAAAAGTAGAGCTGAAGATGGCTTTTGTGTGTGTGTGTGTGTGTGTGTGTGTGTGTGTGTGTGTGTGTGTGTGTGTGTGCGTGTATGTGTGTGTGTGTGTGTGTGTGTGTGTGTGTGTGTGTGTGTGAGTGTGTTTGTCTATGGACCAATGACAAGCCTTTTACCTGCAAACTGAGGACAATAGTACCAAAGTGAGGACATTTTGCTGGTCCTTACTTTGGGACAATGTTCCAGAGCTCTACCGGTTACTTTTAGAGGTATGGTGTGAATTAAGTTTTAGTTAAGGTTAGGGTTAGGAATAGGGTTAGTGTTAGGCATAGTCCAGTCACTAAACTGAATGACAATCGATAGGGATGGGTACTTTTGACATTTGAATCGATTCGGTGCTAATTCCCGGTACCTAGGAATCGATACCGGTACTTAACGGTACCAATTTTAGATACTTTTGAGTGTTTAATATTTTAATTCTCTTTTATAATAAAATATATATTTTTTTCAATATATAACCATATTTGATAAATATCACGATAATTAATATACAACTGTTTGTATTTTAACATTGTCCTCGTAGTTTTATAAGCTGATTGTCATGGCTCGAGGTAAGTGTCTAACCCAAGACATGCAGAATCAGCACACGTAGTCCAAAGCAGTAAAGTAAAATGTCTTTATTATAAAAACGGGAACTGAAACCGCACAGGGAAGTCCTGTGGGATGAGCAATACGGCTCGAGTCTCTGAGGTGCTCAGGTTAATCAGTAGAGGAGGGGAAGCCGGGGAGGACGCTGGGCAGAGGATGAGAGATCCAGGAGGGGTGAGGTAGCAGAGGGAAAGCCAAACAGGAATGGCGGAGGAGGATGGGACGTGATGAGTATGTTCCAGAAAACGAAGACAGCGAGGGTGAGTAGATGATGAGATGATCCTGAGCGAGACAAAAACAGGCGTAAGGGATAATCCAATTCCAAATCCAAAATACAATCCAAGGTCATAAATCCACTAGTCGAAGGCGAGTCAAAACACGAATTAACAAGATCAAAGTTCAGAGTCGAGTGGCTGGTGCTACCTAAACTGGTGCAATCATCCGGCAAAGTGATGTGTCTCCATCCTCCTTTTGAACCCGCGTCCCTGATTGGGAAATCTCCTGCAGCTGCCGCTCCCCCTGCTCCTCACCTGTGGAGAATTAGCTCAGAGTCTGGTGAGAGGAGAAGGTGTGACTCACCTCTGCCCAGGAACATGACACTGATAATTAAACTGAAGCAAACATCTTTACTGTGAACCAAATTTACGGTGTATCTTCATTCCTTTTGCCGTCCTTTTTCTTTTGATTTTTCCTACTGGGAAGTTAGAATTTCCGAGGAGAAAGCGAACGCACCATGGGCTGATAACAACGGTGGCAATGGAAGCTAATTTATCAAGCTAGCGTTATCTTAAACAGTTTATTTAGCTGCTGGAGCTGATTAAAACAATGATGCATCACACTTAGATCGTTGTCACTGGTTTCTTCTTCACCCAATCACCCGTCGCGTTTAGTAAAGTGAAGCCAAACTTTAGAGCGAGTTCATGTTTTTCCATTCGGAAATTCGGAGTTCCGAGGAGAAAGTGAACACACCAAATCAAGCTAACATTATCTTAAACATTTTATTTACCTACTGTAGCAGATTAAGATGAGGATGTCTCACTTAGATCGTTGTCGCTGGTTTCATCATCACCCAGTTTCCCATCACATTTAGTGAAGTGGACCCAAGCTTTAGCGTGCATTCTTTCTACCATGCTGCTCTGTTTACAACTCGCTCGCAGCGACCATCGACATAACACTCTTGAACATGCGCAGCTGTCTAGGCAACTTCTCGTTATGAAGGACGGGTACTGAAACGATGCACCGTTTCAAATGACGTGAATCGGTGCTCAGTCTTTTTTATGGAATTTGGTCAGTACCTTAAAAAGTACCGAGTTCGGTACCCATCGCTAACAATCAACAACAGTCTTCACGACTAATGCAAGGTGAGAACGTGTGTGTTTGTGTGTGTGTATACACTCACTGACCACTTTATTGGGTACACCTGTCCATCTGCTTGTTACCACAGATTACTAACCAGCCAGTCACATGGTAGCAACTTGATGCATTTAGCCATGTTGACATGGTCAAGACGATCCGCTGCAGTTCAAACCGAGCTTCAGCATGGGGAAGAAAGGTGATTTAAGTGACTTTGAATGTGGCATGGTTGTTGGTGCCAGACAGGCTGGCCTGAGTATTTCAGAAACTGCTAATTTTCCTGGATTATCAGGCTCAACCATCTTTAGGGTTTACAGAGAATGGCCCAAAAAAGGGAAAAAATCCAGTCCACAGCAGTTATGTGGGCAACAAAGCCTTGTGTGTGCCAGAGGTCAGAAGAGGATGGCCAGATTGGTTTGAGTTGAGAGAAAGGCAACAGTAGCTCAGATAACCAATGGTTACAACCAATGTAGGTAGAAGAGCATCTCTGAACAAGTTGAACCTTGAGGCAGATGGGCTACAATAGTAGAAGACCACACTGGGTACCACTAATGTCAGCTACGAATAGGAACTTTTCTGCTGCTTGACTTCTGCTGCAACATTCTGCTGGTAGGGTCAGAATTTGACTTCAACAACATGAAAGCATGGATCCATCCTGCCTTGTATCAACGGTTCAGGCTGCTGGTGGTGGTTTAATGGTGTGGGGGGAATTTTCTTGGCACCCTTTAGGCCCCTTAATACTAACTGATCATCATTGCAACACTACAGCCTACCTGAGTATTGTTGCTGACCATGTCCTTCCCTTCTTGAACATGACAATTAGTTCACTGTCCTCAAATGGCCTCAACAGTCACCAGATTCCAATCCAATAGAGCTCTGCTGGGATGTGGTGTAACGGGAGATTCTCATCATTGATGAGCAGCCAACAAATCTGCAGCAATTGTGTGATGCTATCATGTCAATATGGACCAAGATCTCTGAGGGATGTTTCCAGTACCTTGTGGAATCTATGCCACAAAGGATTGAAGGCAAAATTGGGTCCAACCCAGTACTGGTAAGGTGTACCCAATAAAGTGGCCAGTGAGTGTATCCCAAAACATTGTTGATGGTATGATAGCTTTGGGAAAATGAATTTAGATTATTATTAGTGATTAAGTACCCTAATCTACCCTAACAGCTGTTTCCTTTTGACACAGTGTCAGTGTGTCTGAAACAGCTGTTAGGGTAGAAATGGCTCCTTCATCACGTTACAACAATGTCTGTTGAAATCTAATATTTTCTAACATGAACAAGTGCATTTTACTCAGGAAAAAGAAAAAACAAAAGAAAACAAAAAAAAAACGTTCCTTGGCATTCAGTTTGTGTTAATGTTCTGCACTGAGAGCAAATTCTCTTGTTTCTGAAGCCACATCAATTTGTTTTATTTGTTTTCGTGCACCATAAAATGCCAACTCTGGTTCTCCTTAACTCATAAGACATTTATTGCTGGGGAGAAAAAGTGTGGCAATGTAACGGCCTCTGAGTATAGTTTGGGGTGTGATCTATGTATTTGTCCAAGCACTTTTGCTCTGTTTATCTATAACTAGTGAGTCTCTCCCCTCCTGCCATACTGCTTGTTCTTACATATTTCCTCAGAGGGCTGTTAGAGAGTGGTACCAACTAAAAATATCTTGTGAGCTTCAGAAAAAGCTATTACAAAATTCAAGATGCTCTTAAAGCTGGGTTTTCAGATAATAGTTGTAGTGCTGCTTAGCCTGTGTGTGTTCACGTATGCTGCTGAGAGACAACAAGAGACCGAGGCTTTTGGATTGTGTGTGTGTAACTTTGAAGAAATGAATGTTCGGCCAACTATTGATTTTGGGAAAGGCTCTCACTGAGATGATGAGGGGGTGTGTCCTGTGAAGTGGCTATTATGTGGAATCAGTTGCCGTCGGCTGATTTCTGTGCACTCAATATTCATTGCTTCCAGCTCTCCAAAACAGCCTAGGTTGCACCTCCTCAAGATGCACCCATCTTCATTCAAATGATCTACTTTAAGGAATACGCACTTCCCAGTAATGGTGTGCATCATCGATGGGCGTAAAATTCCCAACAGTGCAAATATTTCAAAATTGATCTAGTTTTTTTCAAATTATTTAAACACAAACTGAATGCTTCAAATCTAGGGATGCTCCGATCAGGTTTTTTGCTGTTGATCGCCGATACTGATCACATGGATTGGACATTTTCTATGTAACTATGATGAGTGCTGTAGACTACATGATCTTGGAAAAATGGGACAATAACGTCACCTTTAATGGCCTGGATTCATTTAGACAAAAACAATTTTTTTCTTTTTCAAGAGAAAAAGAGATGTTGTTTCTGACCACAACTTCTAAGCCTCCTACTCACAACCCAAGGTTCAGAACTGAAGGACACTCTTAAATGAGAGACAAAGCATCTTCAAGGTAACCAGAAAGTCCAGTTGTTTTCATTTAAATATCTCAAGAAGACCGTGTCCAGGATGAACAAGAATCTACACCAATGTGCAACACAATGGAGCAAAAAACTGGAACACTTAAATGTAACTGCTGTCAGCAACAATCTAAGATTTAGGACAATGTCACCCTCTGCTGCCCGCGCTCTCCTCGTCGATGACACAGTCCCATGCGTGATCCAACGTGTTGACTCCATCGTCTCTGTTCATGGATCCATGCCCACATGTCTTTATTTCTATGGCTTCCTTGATCCATCCTTTGAATTTTTGTTGTTCTGTGTTTATGCTCCTTGTTCTGTCCCAGTCCATTATGTGATTCTCTCTTGTGCAGTGGTCTGCTGTGGCTGATTTATTTTAGTGTACTTTCTGCTTCTTGTTTTGTGACTCTTCTATGTTCTATTGTTTGTGTGTTGAGAAGGCGTCCAGCTTCTCCCATGTATGTCTTATTGCATAGTTTGCATGAGATTTCATAAATGACTCCACACTTATGTCCTGCTGGTATCTTGTCTTTTGGGTGTACTAGTCTTTTTCTGACTGTTGTGTATGGTTTTGTTGGTGTGTTTGTTTTCATTGTTGCTGCTATTTCTTCTGTTACGCCTTTGATGTAAGGAAGGGTTATCAATGGTTTTGGTTCTTGTTTTTCTGGATTTTTGGTTCTTTGTTTTCGTTGTTCTTTTCTTTCTGTTGTTTGTTGTTTTCCTTTGTTTATTGTCCATGTCGGGTATCCGCAGGTTTTGAAAGCATTATATAAGTATACGTTGGTTTGCTTTTTCATATTCTTGTATTTTTCGTTATTATGTTTGCTTGGTGGTATAACAGATCACTGACATTTTATCTATAGTAGGGTGTTCTGATTGCCCATTATAAATGTTGGTCTGTGTGTGTTGGTTTCCTGTATGTGTTTATATTCAGGGTCTCGTCTTTTTGTCTGCTTATTTTCATGTCCATGAACGTTATGCTGCCTTCTATTTCTTCCTGTACATTTTATGTTGTTTGTGTCGTCAATATTGTTCAGGTGTTTTGTTATGATTTCTAGTATATCGTCCACGTAGCATTTCCATAATTTTATTTAGCAGTTTACAGGGGCAGTGGCTATGGCTTTTTGTTCCAGGTCCCCCATGAATAATTAGCAAAGTGTGACTGAAAACGGATTTCCAATGGCAAAGCCTTTCAGCTGCTTGTATATAGTTCCGCCGTATGTGAAGTATATGGAGTTTGCTACCAGTTCTACCAGTTGTGCTGTCGTCTGCTGTGAGGTTTGATCTTTCGTGTAACGTTTAGTCCTGTCTGATTCTGTTAACTGCTTTGTTGATGGTTTTTGGGGTAAACATTTTTGTGAACAGGGATGTAACATCATGTGAGATAAGCATGTTGTTGTCTTCGATTGTAATCTTTTTTAGTTCTTTTGCCAGTTCTGTGCTGTTTTTGCAATGCTGATCTGTGTTACCTTATAGTGGACTGATGATTTTGCTCATTTATTTCCCCATATTTTATGTTGGTGTACCTATGCTGTTTACTATTGGTCTTAGTGGGGTGTTCTGTTTGTGTATTTTCAGGGTTCCATAGCTTCTTGGGATTATGTTTGCTGTTGGAATTCAATGTTTGTACATTGTTTCTGTTATTTCGCCTTTTTCTTGTAGTGGTTTCAGTACTTTTTTGATGTTTTTGTAATGTCTGCTGTTGGACCTTTTTTAGTGTTTAGTATGTTTTTTATTTTTATTTATTTATTTTTTTGTCTTCTAGCATCTGTTCCATCTGTTGTTTGGAAGTCAGCAGTGTTGGTTGAAACGTCGGCAAAAACAAGATGAAAACAATTATTTTGCTGTGTTAAAAAAGAACCAAGTAGTGCAGCTGGATAAAATACACAGAAAGAACGTACAAAAGATCAATACAATACAATACAATACAATACAATACATACAAATAGCACTCTCAGAGATGGAGTAAAAGTTTGTCTTACACTTTTACCACTGCATGCATTCGCAGTAATGATGGGTGGGGTGATGCCGAGACACATGGTCTCTGCCGGCTGCAAAGTAGCAGTGGCAGGTGATTGGCCTTTATGATTGTCTTTGAAAGGTCATGATTGGGCTGTGATGGACTGGCACTCTGTCCAGGGTGTACCCCGCCTGATTGCCCATTGGCCGCTGGAGATATGCACCAGACCCCCCACCCCCACCCCCGCCCCCGCGACCCTACGTGGACAAAGCAGGTTCAAACAATGGATGGATGGATGGATGGAGGTATTGATTGGAATTTGCCGATTATGTGTCTTTCATGGAAATCGGTCAATTTTGAATGGTGGCCAATCAATTGGAACATCCCTATTCAAAACCAGATTGAAGAATTTGTTTAAATTTGTAATAAAAAAGGTAAATCCTTTTTAAAGTGAATTATATAAATAAAAATGATGAGTAATCTTGGTTAAAGTGACAATGTGTAGTTTTTACTGTTGATCTCTGGAAATATCCATTGAAACGTTGTTGAAAATGAATTTAATGATGCCCAGTTGCTGAAAAATTTTGGCTGCTTCGTAACATATAACCATAAAAATTGGGTATAAAATACATGGGAACGGGTCTAAGTCTCT